GAGGTGGTGGCCGCGGTGGCGATCCTTGCAGCTCGGCGTCTACCAGCAGCCTCGGTACTGTGCAGTACCAGCTCTAGATTGGGCCCCTTCATGGCACTGTGTGCCGTCGTCCGCACCCGACCGCCTGCTGCTTCCGCCGTCTCGACGACCTCTTTCAACGCCGCTTCGGCCCGGCCCTGGACCTCCCTGACTGGCCCAGTTTGCTGCGCCACGGTGTGCCTGTCTTTTACTCAGACATGGATCAGATTAGTTCTGCCTTGCACTGCCTATATGCGAACGCTTCTAGTGTGTCCAAATCTTATTACCCTGTGTTCTCTAGCTTAGGCGTAGCACCTGTGTGTAGTTCAGAGACCCCTGCTACGTCAGGCGTAGGATCGTTTGCCTTGTCTATTCTAAGCTCCACACTCTCTCCTTCTTCGTCTGCCGCTTTTGCTTCGCTGTCCTTCACACTTGACTCCGGTGCGTCTGCCTGCTTCTTCCGCGACCAAGCTATGCTTACACCGCTTGCCACGCCTGGTGCTATCGCACTTGCTGACTCCTCCTTCGATCATGTGGTTGCCTACAGCTACACTACCCTTCCTTGTCCAGCGGTCCCCTCGGGTTCCCTTACAGGCCTGCACATCCCCTCGTTCTCCCGAAACTTAGTCGGTCTCGGCTGTCTTCACGACCTCGGCATCACCACTATGTTCCCGGGTCACGAGCGGTACGCCGTCTGTACCGATGCCACCTCAGGTTCACCCTTTACAACGTTCCCCCAGAAATAGGTGTCTGGCCTCTTTACGCTGGACGTTGCTCCCCCCCCCCCGGTGGGTGCATCCTCCCCGGGTCCTGCGTCTACCTAGGTCACAGCTGCGTGCTCGTGTCGGTCGCTCACTCACCCGTCGCTTCTGTGGCACCACCGCCTAGGTCACCCTGTGCTCCCACGTCTGCGCCATATATCCCAGCATTTTCTTCTCCAAGGTCTCCCTGCGTCGCTTCCTGCCCTCCCTCCCTCACCTGCGCCGCCGTGCACGCCCTGCGTTGAGGGCCGGCTTTGCCGTGCTCCTCACTCCTCCTCACTTCGTCTAGCCACCGCGCCCCTCCAGACCTTGCACTTCGACGTCTGGGGCCCAGCCCCCATCCCTGGACCGCGTTGCGAGCGCTACTTTCTGGTGCTCGTTGACGACTACACGCGATACACCATGGTGTTTCCCTTGGAGCGGAAGGCGGACGTGCCTGACGTTCTTATCCCGTGGGTCGTAGCTGCGCGCCTCCACCGTGATCTCCCTGTGTTGTGTTTCCACTAAGACCGTGCGGCGAGTTCGCCTGTGGTCAGCTTGGACCGTTCTGTCGTGCGAAGGGCATCACCCAATCGTACACCCTTCTGGACTCCCCGCAGCAAAATGGGTCGTTGAGCGATGCATCGGCTTGGTCATGTAGGTGGCTCGTATCTCCATAATTCATGCCGGTGCACCCCATTTTCTTTGGCTGTTCGCCGTTCGTTACGCCGCTCACCAGCTTTACCTCTAGCCGTGCTCCCAGGGGCCGCGGGTTTCGCCGACCCTTCTTTGCACCGGGTTCCCTGGTGATGCGTCCGCGTTCCACGTCTGGGGCTGCCTCGCTCACGTTCGTGCCTCTGGCACGGACAAGCTCACTGCCTGCACGGTCCCCTGTGTCTTCCTCGGTTTCCCCCTTGACTCCTCTGACTGGCACTTTTACCACCCGCCGTCTCACCGCTTCTTTCACTCCCGTGACGCCATTTTCGACGAGTCTGTCTCCTTTTACCACCGCTTTCCCCACCGAGGTCTCCCGGTTTCCCCTCCCCTATTTCTGGTCCCCACTTCCCCGGTAGCCCCTGCTCACCTTCCTCCCCGTCCTGCTCCGTCTGGTGTGTCTCACTTCACTCCCCTCCCGTTGGTTGTCCCGGTCGAGGAGTCGGCTGACTCTGGTGGCCTTGCGGCACATTTCTTGCCGCCCGTCTCTCCCCCGATGTCTCCTCCTCCGCGGTCGCAGCCGCCGCAGCAGCAGCCGTTCATGGCCTCTGGGGGTGCTAGCGTTGAGGAGGGTGCTAGTCCTGGGGTTCCTGCTGTGGCTTGTCCCGGCGGGCTCTGGGGTGGCACCGGTGCTGGAGAGGGTTCTCGCTCTGGGGGTGCTCGTTCTGGGGGTGCTGGAGTGGAGTGTTCCGGAGGTGGCCATGGTGCACCTGGCGGTCCAGGTGTCGGCGTCGAGCAACAGCAGCAAGAGTCGCCGCCGGTGTCCGCCCTTTGCATACTCGGTCTTTCCTCCCATGACCGCTCGCCTGCGCCTCCCCCGCCGCCTCCTCCCCTTCCTGTCCACGGTCCCATGTTTCCTCCGCCGAACTCGTCCCCGGCTAGTTTCCCACCTCGTTCTCCTCCTGTTACTCCTCCTCTGTCTCCTGACCCGACACCTCCGTCTCACGTCTGGTCTCGCCGCCCGTCTCGTGCTCGTCCTGTCTCCCCTGTCCAGCTTTCTCGTCCTATGTTGCTTCGTTCCCACACATCTTGTCCTCCCCTCCTGCCTTCGCCTCCTCCGTCGTCGCTCGCTGTCGCGCCTCCCCATCTGTCTTACTACCATCGTTCCGTTCGTCCCCTTGTTCCTCGGGTCCTTGCCTCCCTTGTTACCGACCCGTCTGTTCCGCTCTTGTCGCTGCTCTCGCTGCTTTCGCCTCTATCCGCCGCCTTGACTACGCCACCACTCTGGACTCTGACCATGTCCGTCCTCCGTCCGTCAGGGGTGCTCCTGCCCTTGGTAGTGACGTCCTATAGGATAGGCACTACGAGTTTTCTTTCCTGTCTGAGGCTTCTTCCCATCTCTGCTCCATGCTGCTAGTCCCTGAGGGAGACCCGGACGCCTTTGATATCCCGACCCCTCGTACTTACGCTGAGGTGACCTCGGGACCCTTGGCGTCTCAGTGGATAGCTGCCATGGAGCAGGAGATGGCATCTTGAAGATCCAGCGGCACCTACGTCGATGCAGTTCCTCCACCTGGGGTGAACGTAGTCGATGGCCGGTGGCTCTTCAAGGTGAAGCGCCCCCCTGGAGAGCCACCTGTATTCAAGGCGCGCTACATGGCTAGAGCCTTCAGTTCGCGAGAGGGGGTGGACTTCTTTCAGACCTTCGCCCCGACCCCGAAGATGACTACTCTTTGGGCGGTGCTATACGTAGCAGCACAGCGTGACTACGAGCTCCACTCCCTAGACTTCTCCACAGCTTTTCTTCAGGGCAGCCTACACGAGCAGGTCTACCTGCCCCGACTGCAGGGCTTCACTGGTACCTTCCCTCCTGGGACCCAGTGGCTCCTCCGACGCCCAGTCTACGGCTTGCGACAGGCGCTCCGTGAGTGAAGCGACACGCTGTGTGCTACACTAGCCGACCTGCAGTTTTTTCCGTCCTCTGCAGACCCTTCGCTCTTCGTTCGTGCTGGCCAGACTCCGCTCTACATCCTTGTCTACGTAAACGATCTGGTCTTCGCTACTGCAGACAGGGACGCACTAGCCTCTGTGAAGTCCGGGCTGTTGAGGAGACACACCTGCACTGACCTAGGAGAGCTGCGTCGTTACTTTGGCCTGCAGATCTCCCGGGAAAGAGCAGCGCGCACCATCACTCTCACACAGTCACACTTGATGCGCTAGGTCCTTCAGAGGTTCGGTCTTCAGTTCTCCTCCGCACAGCCCACACCTTTGCCAGTAGATTACAAGCTCTCTGCTCTGGTTCCTGAGGAATCAGTAGAGCCCAGTGGTCCTTACGCAGAGCTGGTGTGTTGCCTCATGTACCTGATGACTTGCACTCGTCCAGATCTCGCATACCCTCTCAGCATCCTAGCTCGCTTTGTGGCCACAGGCAGACACCGACCACAACACTGGTCGGCCGCTAAGAGGTTTTTGCGTTATCTAGCAAGTACATCGGGCATGGGGTTAGTGCTTGGAGGACGCAGGCCAGTGGTCCTTACTGGGCACAGAGACACTTCTTGGGCAGACAACACTGAGACTGTCAGGTCCTCCCAGGGCTACTGCTTTAGCCTTGGTTCAGGGGCCATCTCGTGGAGGTCCACTCGCTCCTCGTCTAGCTGTGAGGCTGGGATCTACGCCGTTGCCATGGCAGCACAGGAGCTCCGCTGGCTGACCTTCTTGCTCGCTGACTTAGGTGAGCGGTCTAGCTCTGCCCCGGTTCTGTACGCTGACAACAGGGCCATGATCCTCCTGTGTCAGGAGCCTCGACTCGAGGGCAGAGCGAAGCGTATTCAGCTGCGGTACTTCGTCCTGCGCGAGCTACAGCAGCGTCGCCAGGCTCGCGTAGTACACTTGGCCTCTAGTGCCAACACAGCTGATTTCTTTACTAAGGCGCTTGCGCCTAGAGATCATCAGCGGCACTGCTTGCAGCTTGGTCTAGTTCTTGTAGACTCTCACCTGCTAGGACCTTGATTGTGTACTCCTCTATATTTATGCCTTCCAGACTGGCCTTGTGGCTTCTCTTCCAGTGGTCGGACTAGTAGTACCGCCCTGGTTTGTTCTTGCCTTGTTTGTACTATTGCTGGCTGGTCTTCGGACCCCTGGCTCAGAGGTTGGACTAGTAGTGCCACCCCGAGCTGAGCTGCGTGTTTCTTGCGCGGCACTACCCCTTATCTAGCCTATGGGGTGTGTGAACTTATACATATGTTAGTATGTAGAAGTTATGGGCTCGATAGGTGTATGTTCTTAGAGGGTTCAACTTCAACCCTATATCTCCATTGTTTTCACCTATTCTAGTCATTCCAGTATTCTAACACAACCCCCCATTCTTGTATGTCCTCTTTCTTAGTGCCTCTTTTCTCTCGTCAACTTTCTGCCCCCTAGCTAAATCTCTCTACAGTCCTATGCCTGGTTCCTAGCCCTAGTTCAAGTAGTTTCGAGGTCTGCTATTTTAGCTGCGGGCTTTAACATTCAGACCGTTGCCTCAGAGGGGACTAGTACCACCCTGAGGTACGTGTCTTGTGCTAGTCATTGCCCTATGTCCTGGCTAAGGGGAGTCAACATACATTTGTATATGTTTTAGGCTAGATAGGCGCATGCTCATGGAGAGCACATCACTTACACAAAACCACCATGGTCATTCGTTATCTCTGAGACTGCACACGTCTACTTCAGTAATAGCTTACTACCGTAGACCCTACAACTCAAAGAACATGAACTTCTCCCGACCTTGATCTAATGAACATTAGAACACGGGCAACCAAGCTTGCACAATCCTTGCTACAAACAAAGCCATCAGCGTTCAGGAAAGGCACCACCACGTTGTCGCTGTGAGATTGTGCCTAATCGGCGCGAGACTGACCAGCACGCGACGACAGAATGATGCCAACAATAAGCCCGTACAGGGCAAGAGCTTCAGCGAAAATAAGAATAAGAATCATGCCGACGAAAAGCTTGGGTTGCTGGGCGTTAGCTCTGCAAAATACGGTGGACAGGGTCCAAATGTTAGCGATAACAAGCGAAACAGCCAGTATAAATGGACCACCTTTCTTATGCACCTAGATCCATAATCCAACAACACGCACCTGACACCAGCGTCACCGACGATCCCAATAGCCATGCCCGCAGCGAGACCCGCCAGCCCGCAAGAAAGTCCAGAGGACAGATGAGCGTAACCATCAAAAGAGTAGTACGCCTTGGCCTTAGGGTTAATGCCCGTGCTGATAATAACGGCAATAATAAGGCCGTAGATTCCGAGCACACCAGCCATGACCACGGGAACAATGGACTTCATGACGAGTTCAGGCCTCATCACACCCATCGACGCAACACCGACGCCACTCTTCGCTGTACCGTAAGCTGCTCCCATGCCTGCAAAATGCGAAAACAGCGGGTCACCACGGGAAAGAAAAAAAAAAGATGAAGAAATGTCACTCGCCTGGATCTAACACTGCAGATCAGGATTAGCTTAGTACTGTGAAGGATCTATGTGAGAAATGATCCAGATCAGCCTTCACGCCCAAGCCTACATGAGAAAACGAGAGCTGCGGAAGCCCCCATGAAGCCGAAGAAGGGAGCCGTCTCGTCGCCATTGAAAGTCGCCGACATGATGGCAGCTTAGCTGGTATGGACACTAAGGGGAAGGATATCTGCAGAATGGTTGGGAAAGTTAAGGCTCCAAATGGCTGCTGGGGAGAAATCTGCAAGCAAGGAAATGCTCTCAGCAGAAGTCTGGAACCCTTTCGTTCAGCAGCGTAGTCCCTTCCATGCGTTCATTGGTCAGTCACAGTCATCAGACAATCACCTTTGGCTGATAGACGAAACCTACACCATATCAATACTTCGTTATACTACATGAGTACAAGCATCCCTTACTTGTGTCATCACTGTATACGACAATGCATTAATTAATTTAAAAAAAAAAAAAAAAAAACATTGTGGCATTGGTAGCTCTAACCAGGTGTTCAATTGATACAGGTAGGAATTGGCGTATATTATACATAAGGGCTGAATACAGACCCCAAAACTATGGGCGCAACAAGAATGCAGGTAACACATAATATTTTGATGTGCAACATTTGTTAAGCTAGGTTAAGAACAATGAGGTAGCATAGGAAAGTAGCATGAGGTTTTAGGCTCCTCCTCCGCCCCGCAGCCGCAGCAGCAACCGCCGTCGCCCCCACAGCAGCAGCCGCCGTCGCAGCCGCAGCAATTGCAGGGGTCAGCACGTTCTGGGGGTACTGGCGTTGAGGAGGGTGCTAGTCCTGGGGTTACTATCGTGGCTTGTCCCGGCAGTCTTGGGGGTGGCACCGGTGTTGGGGAGGAATCTCGTTCTGGGGGAGCTAGTTCTGGGGGTGCTAGTCCTGGGGTTCCTGTTGTGGCTCGTCCCGACAGTACTGGGGGTGGCACTGGTGCTGGAGAGGTTTCTTCTGGGGGTGCTGGAGTGGAGCGTTCCGGAGGTAGCCGTGGTGCAGCTGGAGGTTCTGGTGTCGGCGTGGAGCAGCAGCAGCAGCAGTCGCCGCCGGTGTCCGCCCTTTGCCTCCTCGGTCTTCCCTCCCTTGACCACCCGCCAGTGCGTCCCCCGCCGCCGCTTCCGCTGCATGTCTACGACCCTGTCTTTCCTCCGCCGGACTCGTCTCCGGCTCGTCTTCCCCCTCGTTCCTTTCATGTGTCTCCTCCTCTGTCTCCTGACCCGACGCCCAACGTCTCACGTCTAGTCTCATCGTCCCATGCTCGTCCTGTCTCTCATGTTCAGTGCTCTCACCCTATGTTACTGCGTTCCCATGTGTCTCGTCCTCCCCTCCTCCCGTCGCCTCCTCCGTCGTCGCTTGTTGTCGCTCCACCTCCTCTGTCTGACTTCATTCATGCCGCTAGTCCTCTTGTCCCTCGAGTCCTTGCCTCCCTTGTTACCGACCCGTGCGTTCCTGTCTCGAGTCTTGACGCGCTTGTCACTGCCGCTGACTTTGCCTCTACCCGCCGCCTTGACTACGCCACCGCTCTAGTCTCTGACCCTGCCCGTCCTCCGTCCGTCGGGGGTGCTTCTGCCCTTGGCACTGACGTCTTAGAGGACCGGCAGTACGAGCCTGCTTTTCTCTCCGAGGCCGCGCCTCATCTCTGCTCCATGCTGCTAGTCCCTGAGGAGGACCCAGACGCCTTTAACATCCCGACCCCTCGCACTTACGCAGAGGCACCTCGGGAATCTGGGCCTTTTAGTGCATAGCTGTCATGGACGCAGAGATGCCATCTTGGAGATCCACCAGCACCTACATCGACGCAGTTCCCCCACCTGAGGTGAACGTCGTCGATGGCCAGTGCCTCTTCAAGGTGAAGCGCCCTCCTGAATAGCCGCAGGTATTCAAGGCACGCTACAGTGCTAGAGGCTTCAGTCAGCGCGAGGGTGTTGACTTCTTTCAGACCTTCGTCCCGACCCCGAAGATGACTAGTCTTCGGGCGCTGTTACACGTAGCAGCACTGCGTGACTACGAGCTGCACTCTCTCGACTTGTCGACAGCGTTTCTTCAGGGCAGACTGCACGAGCAGGTCTACCTGTGTCGCCCGCCAGGCTTCACCAGCACCTTCGCCCTGGGAACCCAGTGGCTCCTCCGATGCTCGGTTTACGGTTTGCGACAAGCACCTCGCGAGTGGCACGACAGGCTTCGTGTTACGTTAGTTGAACTTCATTTCTTTCCATCGTCTGCAGACCCCTCGCTCTTCGTTCATGTTGGCCAGACCCCGTTCTACATCCTTGTCTACGTAGAGGACCTGGTCTCTGCTACTGCTAACAGTGAAGCACTGGCCTCCGTGAAGGCTGAGCTGCAGAGGAGACACACGTGCACTGACCTAGGAGAGCTGCGTTGTTACCTTGGCCTGCAGATCTCCCGGGACAGAGCAGCGTGCACCATCACTCTCACACAGTCACACTTGGTGCGCCAGGTTCTTCAGAGGTTCGGTCTTCAGTTCTCCTTCGCACAGCCCACACCTTCTCGAGTAGATCACACGCTCTCGGCTCCAGTCCCTGAGGAGTTTGTGGAGCCTAGTGGTCCTTACGCAAAGCTGGTGGGTTGTCTCATGTACCTGATGACTTGCACTCATCCAGATCTTGCATACCCTCTCAGCATCCTGGCTCGCTTTGTGGCCACAGGCAAACACCGACCACAGGACTTGTCGGCAGGTAAGAGGGTTTTGCGTTATCTAGCAAGTACATCGGGCATGGGGCTAGTGCTAGGAGGACACAGGCCAGTGGTCCTTACAGGGCACACAAACGCTTTGTGGGCAAACGACGCTGAGACCCTCAGGTCCTTCCAGGGCTACTATTTTAGCCTTGGTGCAGGCGCCATGTCGTGGAGGTCCACCCGCTCGTCGTATGTTACGCAGTCTAGCTGTGAGGCTGAGATCTACGCCGATGCCATGGCGGCACATGAGCTCCACTGGCTGACTTTCTTGCTCACACCCTTAGGTGAGCAGCGTAGCTCTGCCCCGGTTCTGTACGCTGACAACAAGACCATGATCCTCCTGTGTCAGGAGCCTTGATTGGAGGGCAGAGCGAAGCACATCTAGCTGCGGTACTTCCTCATGCGCGAGCTACGGCACCACCGCCAGGCCCGCGTAGTTCACTTGGCCTCCGATGCCAACACAGCTGATATCTTTACTAAGGCGCTCGCTCCCAAAGATCATCAGCGGCACTGTGTACAGCTTGGCCTAGTTCCTGTAGCTTCTCACTCGCAAGAACCTTGATTGTGTACTATATCTTGAATTATCTTGACTGGCCTTATGGCTTCTGTTCAAGTGTTTCGACTAATAGTGCCGCCCTGGTTTGCTCTTGTTTCCTTTGTACTCTTTCAGACTGGATTTTTTATCCTTACCTTAGTGGTTGGACTAGTAGTGTCACACTGAGCTGCGTGTCTCATGCTAGTTGTTGCCCCTTGTCTAGCCTAGGGGGTGTGTCAACATATATTTGTGTATGTTATAGGCTAGATAGGTGCATGCTCATAGAGAGTACAACACTTAGGACAAACCACCTTGTATCACTCATTCTACTTATTCGTTAACTCTGAGAATAAGCACAGAGGCGTTTAAGGGGAACCTTTTTTAGAATGTAGGTGGCGCTTGTCGTTAAATAAAGGCTATAAGCACGACGCTAAAAAAAGGTTGTTACATGAAAAATATATTCGATGACATAAAAATATATTGTATTCCTCTAAATATGTGCCCCTAGAGGGGTGTAGGGTGAATAGGAACCACATGGGGTAGGGCTTATCACACCGGTAAAATTAAATTAAAAAAAAAAACACAAAAAAACTGGTAATTTACGTGTGCATAACAATATTTCTTCAAACAAATTAGATTGTTCATCCATGTGCTATTTATTTAGTTCTAGACAAAACGGTTGTTGTTTTGTTTAAGGATTCGTAACAAGATGCCTCCTGAAGATGCTGTCACGCTTGTAGGGCCAATGAGAATCCTACTCTGCGTGTCGTGTTTGGGCGCATTTCTACAGCTCATATCAGATTCAGCCTCGCATTAGATTCGCGACAAAAGAAGCCGCGTGTTAGAGATAGGCTGCAATTCGGTTAACACAACTTTGTGTGTTGGCACTTTGTTGGTTTTAGGGATACACAAATTTGTTAGGTTGGGTGTAGCTATGTTTTCATCCCCAACCTATCCCAACCCAATCCATCCCAGATCCCCACGATTTGGGAGGATTCCCTTGGGATTTCCTTTGATTCTCCCTTATCCCTTGCCATCCTCTCCGATGCTCGGTACTTAAGGATGTATGCTCTTGCTCATTTCAATCAATCAAGTTCTCAGTTTCTGATACCGCGCCGTATTGAATTATGAAATCGAATGTGTACAATGCACAGGACTGCAGTAGTCTGACGCGAGGTTTCCGTACGCGAGGTTATATGTTGTTTACGCATGTGGCTGAAACGCGCTCCGACGAACAGTCAACTTAAGAATTTCGCGGAATGTGGGCAAACGCCCTCGGCAAAAGCTACGTAGTACATCCGTATAAATTATATTGGTCTTCTCCACTTTAAGGGGCTCAAACGACGAAGTGCTCTTAAAGGGGGGAGGGGCTAATACTCAAATAAGGCGCATAAGCCCCATTAGCTGAATAAAGGACACTGGTTCCTATCCCCCGGGGGGGGGCGCCTATCCGGCTGGATATGGTAGTATCCTCTCAGAAACACAACCGCTAACCACTGTGCTAGGAGGGCTTGTTAAGTAGTGGGCCATGTCGAGAGACTCGCTAGGATTGCCCTTGAGATCCTCAGGGAAAGGCCACAAGCCTCTATGCCTGGGGGGTTATGGGCGCACTAATCTGCTACCTACAGCGACGGAAAGTATTGTCCACATGTTTGTGACTTAGAGGAATTTTGCCATTTTAGGGGGTCATGGACATTAAGACTTAATCTTCTGGTGTGCCTAGTGTATCTAGGTTGGGGTAAGGCTCCACGCCCATGCCTTACATCACACAAGTATAATGATGTTTACAACAAATACTAGAAAATAACAATCTTGGTACATGTGGACAATTATTGCCAGGCGCAAGCAGCAAGTTACATCAGCCCCTAACTAGTACCTAATCCACCGCCCTTTCGCCTTAGACACCGTCCTCACCCTCCTGGGCATGCTTTCCACCAGGTGGGTGCACACATCCGCCGGGATCTTCTCCCATTTCTCCTGCACCCGCTCCCAAAGGTCCAGCATACCAGTGGAGGCTTATAAGGCTTGGCCAGCTGCCTCTTGAGATGAGCCCATAAATGCTCC